AAAGCAAAAGGTAGGTGTCATAAAGGACACCAATGTTTGCCACTGTGCACAAAATAAAATAAATAAAGGTCACAAAAACTGGCACATAAAGTTGAAAAAAAAAAACTTGACACATAAAAAAACAGGCTAATGGTTTGAAGGTGGGGATGGCGGAGGAGGTTGTGTAACATGTGATAAATTGGCTTGGAGGCTTTGGAGGTTGTTTGCAACTTCTGAAATTTGGGTTCTCAGGAGAAGGAAGTGCTTCAAAACAGTGTTGCTTAGCCTATCAAATTTTGGATCAAAATAGGATGAAACTCTATCAAACACTTCATCTAATAAACTAGGAGGCATTGAACTTGATCTAATTCTAACTCTTGCCCTTTTCAGTTTGCTACTTCGTCTCCACTAGAAGATTCAATAGCATCTTCATCTCTGTCCTCTCCTTCAAGAAAGATTAAAACCCATGATCCATTCGCTCTTGCTCTTATCAAGCCATCCTCTGAAGTGAATTGTTAGAGAACAAGTTGGAGTCGTTAAGGCTATCCTCTACTCAGAATCCATTTTGGTGATTGAAAGATTTAGACAATTACAGAAATATGTAATAAGCATACCTAAAGGAATCTCTCCAAAGTCCTTTTTGTTCTCTTCAAGCTTCCTTATCAAAAGGATGGCAGAATTGACTTTTGTCCCATTGATAGCTGCTTCCATTAGTAGTAAATATTTGTTCATAACTTGACCATTCGACCTTTTCCTTGCATTGAAGGAATAAGAGATGAACCTATGAAGAAGTTTCATCTCTGGAGTTTTTAGCTTTGTCGATTTCGATCTGTGCGGATCATAAGTGCCTGTTCCTCCTACTGTGTGCCACGCAATTTGTGAGGACCAACCTCTAGGTGGATCCACTAAATTTCACTATCACATTCAAGCGATTCAGCCAAATTTCTTAATAAAAATAACATGATCAATGTTTTTCAGCCTAAAAACCATTTGATAATGATTATAACTTCAAGATTGCTATAAAATTCACTGATAAGATGTTTATAACCAAAAATCTTTAAGTTGATCAATCTTCTCCATTTCAATTTATCAATTAATTCTAACAATTTGCCATCAATTTCTAGCGATCTAAGAGTAGCCCAATCAAAAGTTCGACCAAGATGCATACCTCTTTCATTGATGCTCGAACTCCATTCTCTGAACTGGATTCTTGAACTCAAGTCCATAAGGCCCATGAAAATCTCCTAATCTCGGTCTTTGGCTTCCACTGGGAGTATTCTTTGTCTTAGGCAAGGCTGGTTTTTTTTTTTTTTTTTTTTTTTTTTTTTTTTTTTTTAAATATGATTTTGGCATCAATGCAAAAATCAATGACCTTTATATAGAAAACACGAGGCATGGTCGTGCGGCAATCGAGCACAATCATTCCACTAATGTTTTATATTAGGGTTAGGGCAATGTAACATGATGCACAATCGTTCACGATAGCCAGCACGTATGTGCATTGGTTTTTAAAATCTGATTTAAACATACTCAACACGCACGATCGTTCCATAGATAGGCACGATCGTTCCAAACAGACAGTTTGAAAAAAAAAAAAAATGTTTGACCCTAATTGCACTTTGATCAAAACATCAACAAACAATGTTTTTAACATTCTAACCACTTAGGGAGTTTCCATATATGAGAAAAAGTATCAAGATTGATATCAACCACAAGATTGTATCATTTTGACTTTCCTTCATTCAACCATTCAAACACATATTTGTTAACAATTTGTCATTCATATGTTAAAAAATATAATTTTAATCTTACATATGAATTGAATGTGTTCCCTATCTTTGTTAGAAGACTTACCACTTAGTGATTCTTATGTCCATCATCTAATGTACCTTATCAGTCCCCTTTGGAGAAGCATGTATAGATTTCTCTATATGTGTTGATTTTTGAGTACCCAACTCATAATCCCAACCCTTTATCTTTGCAATCCAATGGATCAAATCACTAATGGGGTTATGTAAGAGTATTTGCATTTTTGACACATGCAAGGACAATCACACAAAGCATGTTATGGCAATCAATTTAAACAAATTCTCAAAATGCACATAAAATATATCATCTTAACCAATTTCACATATAAGATAATTGCATAGGATGATGAATCATACCTGGCTCGCAGTTATCATTCCAACCTCTCTTTGAATGGTGTAGAATCTTTCTTTATCAAGAGGCTTAGTGAAGATGTCGACCAATTGGTGATTAGTATCAACAAATTCAAGCACAATATCACCTTTGCTAACATGATCACGTAAGAAATGATGTCTAATGTCTGTATGCTTTGTTCTAGAATTATGTACAGGATTTTTAGACAAATTCATAGCACTTGTATTATCACAATGAAGAGGAATTCTATGCATTTTGCAACCAAAATCTTTAGGTTATTACTTCATCCAAAGAAGTTGTGCACAACAACTAGCCACTAACACATACTTAGCTTTCGTGGTTGAAGTAGCAACTGAATTTTGTTTCTTTGAAAACCATGAAACTAGCATGCTTCCAAAGAATTGACATGTTCTACTAGTGCTCTTCTTATCTATCCTACATCCTCCAAAATTGGCTTCCGAATATCCTATAAGACTAAAAGGTGATCCTTTAGGATACCATAAACCAATATTTTGAGTTCCTTTCAGGTACCTAAGAATTCTTTTGACAGCATTGAAATGAGATTCTTTAGGACAAGATTGGAAACGTGCACACATGCATACACTAAATGATATGTTTGGCCTAGATACAGTTAAATACAATAAAGTGCCTATCATGGTTCTATAAAGGTTAGAATCAACACTTTTACCTCCCTCGTCGGTTTCTAATTTGAGTGATGTTCTCATGGGAGTCGGTTGATCTTTTGCTTCATTTCTCTTGAAACGCTTGAGGAGTTCATGAGTGTACTTGGATTGATGCAACAAGATCCCTTCCTTTTGTTGCTTGATTTGTAATCCGAGAAAGAAATTTAGTTCTCCCATGATGCTCATCTTGAATTCACCCTACATCATCTTAGAAAATTCCTTGCAAAAGATTTCATTAGCAGCACCAAAGGTGATATCATCAACATAGATTTGAACTACCAAGATGCCTTGTTTATGCTTTTTGGTAAACAAGGTAGTATCCACCTTTCCTTTTGAAAAACCATTTTGAACAAGAAAACTACTCAATCTATCATACCAACACTACTAGAAAACCCCCCTTTCTTGATAGAATGAGTTAACAAATTTTCTTGACTGTTCTAAAAAACTGTCAAGAATTGTAATTCTTCACAGTTTTTGACCTATCAAGAATTTGAAATAATCTTTGACCATTTTGGATGATTCTTGACAGTTATTAACTGTCAAGGATTTGGTTATAAATAAATTTTGTGAACTTTTTTCTTGACTGTTGTAATCTCAATCCTTCACAGTTTTTAACAGTCAAGCATTAAGTATATAAAAACAAAAAATTTTTACATTAAACTTTTCCCACCCAGTTTCTGCCGCCCATTTTTCATTAACTATTCCCACCATTTTTTCCCTAAAACTTTTACTTACCCGCTATTTTGTGCAAACCCTCATAGTCGACCTACTTCTGGCACTAGAGAAAATGTTATCGTTTCTACCACTCTCGTTCTGTAGACGATGACTTACTCACTGACTTTGGTGCTTACTCCCCAACACCCAAATGTAGGGGTGTTTAGAAAAATGTAGAAATCGAACCAAATCAGGAAACAAACTGATTTTTCGATAATCCAGAAAATCAGTTCGATTTTGGTCCATAGAAATACAGAAAACTGAATTTCTGATTTTATTAAAAAAAATTAAAAAGTAAACAATTTAAATTAAAAAGTCCCTAAATCCTTAAAATTCAAGAAACCAAAACCCCAAACCCCATTTTATTTAAAAAAAAAAAAAAAAAAAAAAAAAAAAAAAGTGTACACTCCAACTTCTCCACTTCGTCATCACTCACCTGTTATACAAAATCCCCAAACTAATTTTACCCTAAGGCGACGCAAATTTCTCCCCACTTTTCCACTCTGTTCGCCTCTTCTTCATTGTTTCCCTGAAATCTATTCTTCTCCAGTTGTCCTTGTCAGTTTGACTGTGGTTCGTTGAACCTTGCCTGTTCTCAATCTTTGCACGGTCGGCTTCTGACGCCAAACGCTCTTACAACAGCCGGCAACCACTCTTTGTCAGTCCTCTGTCCTAATAGATATTTCAATCTTCTTCAATTTTTGATGAAGACTTATACTTTAATAGCTGTCTCCTGTACCTTGTCATTGAACACCATTGCCAATTTTTCTGAATCAAAAATCCCTTTTTCCCGAAGATTGAAATTCGTCTTGTTTTGAGGGCTTCAAAATTGTTTCGTAAACCAAATTGTTGAGAAATTTGTAGAAGAATAATGGGCCAAGCTGTAGAGGAATCGTACAAACAGATGCCAATCATCACCTGCACCTATCTCATAGCCGCTATCGTCACCACAATCGGTTGCTCTCTCGATGTATTTATCTCTCTCTCTCCTTTCTTTATGTGTTTTTTATTTTCTTTTCAATAGAAAGGGCTTGAATTTTTTTATTATTTTGTGTGCCTTTTTAGGGTTTTGGGGGTTTGATGGTGTAATGCATGGTGATTTTGTTTCTGGGTAAATGGGTTTCTTTGTTTTGAGAGGATTTTAACTAGGTTTGGTTCATATTTGAGAATTTCGGTGCTTTCATTGAATGATAGATCCTGAGTTTTAGTTTTGTATTTAGCGTGAAAATGATTGGTTTTGATTTTTTTATTGAGATTTATTATTATTGCTTGGTTTTTTGTTTTGATTGGGTTGTAATTTTGAGGAGCTATTGTTTACTATTCTCATGTATTTGCTGTTTTGTGTTACAATTTCATAGATAATATCGCCCTTTAATCTGTGCTTACATCCAACACTTGTGGTTAAACGGTATCAGTTCTGGCATCCAATCACTAATTTTCTTTTCTGGTTAAGTTTCTGATTGATATTGGTAAAAATTTGTTGTTGCCTTTGAGTGTCTCTTTTGCATATTAATTATATTGCTTGAGATTTACTGTCGAAACATGGGTTCTTTAGCATGTAGAGGAAGGCACATCAAGTATACCTCTACATTTACACAACTGCTCCACCGTAACAGCAATGTTCTTGTTTGTCAAAACATGTGAATTGTTGATCAAATGAAGTTACTAGGCTTGGAAATGATTTGCGGATTGTCTTCATACCTGTGATGTCTGAGTATGACTATATGAGCATCTCTGCATTAATTTTTTGTGTTCACAAATAGCTACATTACCAAATTAGCAAGTTTATGGTTAATACATGATGGTAATGTAGGTTTTGTTTCTCTATAAAAGTTTAGATAGTCAAGTTTGTGGTTAAGACATGCTGACCTATAACTTTTTCACTATTAAGTAACCTTCTTGTCCTGCCTGATGCTTTTAACATAGTCCTAAGGTTAGATTTTATTAATTCAAATAACTATGGGGAGTCTGAAGTCTATATTTGTCACTCTCTCATCTCTCTCCCAACAAAAAAAGTTATTTATATTCAATAACTTGACATGACTTTCATGCTGCAGTATGAAGTGTATTTATTGACATCGAAGTGAGAATAATTTTTGCTTAATTTCTTTCTTCTCACATACCCCCTATTTCGTCAGTTCATTCTTCAATATAATATTATAATGTAGAGAGATATGGGAGCAGAAGAGGTTCGTACTGAGATATATGGTATATTTGGTTACAATGTGGTAACAATGATTTTAATTTGGATAAATTCAATGCTTAGTGACATCTGACATCTTGCTTTTGCAATGAATGGTTCCATCTATTTTTAATCATTTCGAGCTCAGACAACTAAGTTTTATTTTGGAAACTTTTGAGCCTAGGATCAAAATGTATTTACTTCCGACGTTTAATATGCAAAAGTAATGTTAATTATTTGTTTATGTTTCGGATAGAATTGTAAAAAGTTCATACTGATTTTTGTGAATTACTTAGTCCTCATTTTCTGATAGCTGTATGAGTGTAATTAAGGGGTGTGGTGTGGGAACTAGAAAAACTTGTAAATTACGAGCTTATATATTCCAGAGGAAGTGTTTTGTTTCAAATACAAATACTTACAAGGATGGGTTTCACGTTCATTCTTCCACAATCACGTAAACACTGTAAACTAAACTAGTGGGCTTATCATGTATCAAAAATAAAGATTTAGTTTCGGATGAGCCTTGACCCAAAATCAATGTTTCTCACAGAGCCCAAACTTAATACGATTCTATGAATATTCTTTAGCCCTGGGCTCCTGGATAATTGACTATATTTACTTGGCCCTGTATTTTTTGCCTCATTCACAAATTTATGCCGATGAAATTATTCAGTCAAGAGCAATAGATAAGCCAATGATTGTTGTTTTCAACTACGACGATTAAGGAACAAGTACAAACGTATGTTGTATGTACAGTGGAAGATGTTTAAATTTAGCATTCAAAATAGCAGAGCATTTATTGACATGTTTGTTTCTTTGTAATGCCAGATTTAGACTATTTGTTCCATGTGTTCTTTCTTGCTCGATACTGCTAGTTTCTTGGGGAGAACTCTTTCAGGGGAAGGACTGCAGATTTCTTTTACATGCTTTTGTTTGGAGCAACATTTTTAACAGGCACTGTTCTTATTGGGGGAATGATACCTTATTTGTCAGAATCATTTGCAAAATTCATATTCCTTAGCAATTCATTGACACTCATGATGGTTAGTTTTCATTTTTCCAATTTGCAACATTGTTTTATTGGTGATATTGTTGTTGATAATCACCTGGAGGCCATCTAATTTTCTTAATCCATACAGGTGTATGAGTGGAGCAAACAAAATCCTTTCATCCATATGAGTTTTTTGGGTTTGTTTACATTTACCGCAGCTTATCTACCATGGGTGAGTAAGTTCTTTGTATGGTTCCAATAGTTTATGGTTTTATTATTTTATTCTTCATTATTTGTAACTATGAGTAGAAAAGTTTTCCCTACTTAAAAGTACTAATATTTTGTTTTTTGATGAGGCTGATGCGTCTTGTTGGTCTTCTATTATGTGTTTTAATCATATATGTTCTGTAGTTGTATATATACTAAATTTATCTACTTTTAATCTTTTACAGTTCATGGGGAAAAAAATATACATAAATGCGGAGATCGATGAAGTTAGAGGAGAATGGACGATGTACGTATCAAAATGTTTCATTGATGTCAAAGCGTCAATGATGGAAGAAATATGTATCAAACGTTTGTTGAATGATATGATACTATTGTTGAATTTCCTTTACTAAATTAATTGAAAGATTGTTGAATGTTTAAATTTATGAATGAATTATGATAATTGTTGTTGGTTGAGGAATATTATGAAGAATTTCATTGTATTATTCCATTATTTAATTGGTAATAATCAGGAAAATAAATAAATTACAAAATAAAAATATTTACAAAAAATTACCTTGATGGTTTAAGACTATCAAAGATGAAAAATAATTATTAATAAAATTTGATTTTATTATTATTAAATTTAATTTTTAATTTTTAATTTTTGTTAAAATCTCTTGACAGTTCAAAGACTGTCAAGGATTGGTTAAAATTCAGTCAAATTCTTAATGGGTTATTGCTGTCAAGAGATCTGTCAAGAAATTTTTGATAGTTCAAAAAGGGTCTCCACCTTTTCTTGACACTAGCTTCAATGACAGGTAAAGAACTATCAAGAAACCCCCTTCTTAACAGTTATTACCTATCAAGAAAGAGGGTTTTTCTAATAGTGCAAGCTCTAGGAGTTTGCTTTAGACGATAAAGTGCTTTTGAGAGTTTAAAAACATGTTTAGGAAAATCTGGGTTTTCAAATTAGGGTGGTTGTTTCACATAAACCTCTTCTTGAATGAAACCATTTGGAAATGCACTTTTAACATTCATTTGAAAAAGTTTGAAATTTAAATGGCATGCATAAGCAAGTAACATTCTAATAGCTTCTAATCTAGCAATAGGGATATAGGTTTCATCGAAATCAATACCTTCCTCTTGAGAGTAGCCTTGAGCAACTAACCTTGCTTTGTTTATTACCTCAATACCTTGCTCATCCATCTTGTTTCAAAATACCCATTTGCTGCCAATGATTGGATGATCTTTAGGCCTTGGTACAAGCTCTCATACATTGTTTCTCTCAAATTGATTTAGCTCCTCTTGCATTGCTTGAACCCAACTTTGATCACTAAGTGCTTCATCCACTTTCTTAGGTTCAACTTGAGACAAGAATGCATGTATTCCTCATTGATGCCCTTGTTCTTACTCATTGAGTGGGATCTTTGATGATTTGTGCTTCTTTTACTTAATCTCTGACTCTCGAAAAAGAAATCTCCCTTGCCATTCTTTGAGGTTCCATGAAGGTGTTATCTTCATTTTCAACCTCTTCTTGATGTTCTTCTTCTTTGTTTGGATTTGATGGAGATGCTTTATCATTGATCTGTAGTTCTTTCATCATCTTATCAGTCTCCTCTTCATTATTATTTCCTGCATTCTTAGAAGAAGATTCATCAAACAACACATGTATAGATTATTCAACGAAGAGAGTTATTTTGTTAAAGACTATATGCTTTTGAATGTGAAGAATAACCAAGGAAAATTGCTTCATCCGATTTGGCATTGAATTTTCCAAGTTTGTCCTTACCATTATTAAGCACAATGCATTTACAACCAAAGGGATGGAAATATGCAATATGTGGCCTTCTCCCTTTGAATAACTCATAGGGAGTTTTCTTGAGGATTGGCCAAATTATCATAGCTCTATTGATGATATAATATGAAGTATTAACCGCTTCAGCTCAAAAAGATCTAGGTATGTCATGCTCACACAACATGGTCCTAGCTATTTCTATCAAAACTCTATTTCTCTTCTCAACAACTCCATTTTGTTGAGGAGTCCTAGGTGCCGAGAAATTATGCTCAATGCCATGCTCATTGCAATATGATTTAAATAATGTGTAACGCCCACATCGAGGTACGTAGCTTTACTTATGCCCTAATACCCTTAATTGAATTTTGTTAAAGTTATCTTGAACAAGTGTGAAGAAAATGCCTTAAAATTTCATTAAGGGTAAAATGATATTTTCACTCATAATTAGTTGAAAATGCGGGGAGTGAAAAGAGATAACATTTTATGGAGAATGCAATAAAAATAAGGGCATTATGGTAATTGACTAAGGGACATAGATGGAATTTCATAAAAAGTGCAAGGGTGAAATGGGAAACTATAAATAATATTTTGTTATAGCAAGAGTTGAAGAATGAAACCCTAGCCATTTCTTCTCCTCTTTCACGTCACCTTCATCCCTAAATTCTCTCAATTTCTTCAATTCTTTTTCAAGGGAAATTCATAAATTTTGGGTTATTTTTAGTGGAATTTTAATCCCAAGCATCCTTAGGTAAGATCCTTGCACTAAGATATGAGTTTTAATTTTTAAAGTGTTGAATTCTTATGATTTGTGTTCATAGGATTTAAGAGAAAGAGAGTTAGATCAAGGAAGACTACTAAAGTGTTGGATTGCTCACATCCAAGGTAAGTAAATCCAACCCTAGCTATGATTGGAGTAATAATGTGTAGAGAATTTCTTTTTTGCATATATGTGCTTATATATGAAGAACTATTGATGGAATAGATGTTGAATGATGGTTAGAATTTATCCATGAGAAGTAGTGTTTGTGTACTTGATGTTTGATGAGAGTTTGGGTGAATTATGGAAGAATTTGAGTAGAATTTATGGAGTGTGAATCCTGGACAGGTTTGACGTTATTCTTGGTGTGTTTTATTCCAAATTTTGGTGGCTTAGGAGAGAGGTAGAAGTGTAGCTAAATTAGAGTTTATGTGTGCATATAAATTGTTTGATGAAATGTCAAAGAGAATTTCATTTATGATTATGATTATTTTTTATCTTGAGATGAGCTTGTAGATGGTAGAGAATGACATGTTTACATTCCATATTGCATTATTGCATCCAAACACGTGAATTTAGAAAGAATTATAAGCATGAGCCCATCTACATGCATACATACTCATAAGAGCATTAAAAAGCATTAAAGAAAATTAAAGAGCAAATAGAAAGAAATGAGAATATTAAATTCAAATCTGAATTTTTATTTAAAGAAGTGTAAAAAGATAAAAGAAGAGAAGGCTGTTGCGATGGGGAACCCGTGAGTGACATAGCCCCGCATGCATGCCGCCTTTAGTGAGCGGCCTTAGAATTCAAAAAGAAGAATTGTACAGTCCGTTAGAAGTGCATGTGGATGAGGACTGTACCCAGAATTAGAGAATACACTCACACGGCTAGGGTTCCAAATCCATGCCTCAACCAAGTCCGATCGGCAAGAAAGAAAGAAAGAATAGAAAGAAAGCAAGAATAGAAAGAAAGAAAGAAAGAAAGAATAGAAAGAAAAGAAAAGAAAAGAAAAGAAAGAATAGAAAAGAAAGAAAAGAAAGAATAGAAGAGAAAGAAAGAAAAGAAAGAAATACAGAGAAAAGAAACAGAAAACAGAATAAGAAAAATAGAAAAACAGAAAAAAAAAAATGCATATCCTATGCATTTGTGCATTTGCATCATACCTACGCATGATACCGTGCCTATTATCATGAGTAGTGTGAAATTAGAAATTGAGAACAGAGAAAGAATAGAGAAGAATAAAGAAGTGTGATATAAGGAAAGAAATTCAAAATTTAAGCAATGGAGAGAGAAGGGTAGCATAGCGGGTTTACTTACTGAGCAATTAATGCTCACCCCGTTGTTTTCAATGTTTTTGCAGGTAGTACGTGAGATGCGGTCGCTTGGAATGTCAAGAAGTGGAAGGGTTTGGCAACACTGTCGAGTTATTGTTTTGTGACTTTATTATATTATGTAAAGATTTGTATATAAAGAAAAATTAGATATGGGCCCATTATATATATTTAGTGAGTTTTACTGTTATTTTACGAGTATACTAGCTAGAGAAAGAGTATTACACAATGTGTTTTCAAATTCTTTTCCATGATCACTTCTAATGCATGTAATTGCATAGCCTAATTGATTTTGCAATTTCCTAATCAATGGAAAGAATTATTTGAATGCATCATTTTTGTATGCAAGAAACAATACCCATGTAAAAAACATGAGTAATCATCAACAATCACAAAACAATAATGCTTACCTCCTAGACTAGTTGTCCTTGTGGAACCACACAAATCCATATGCAATAATTATAAAGGTCTAGAGGTTGAAACAACATTCTTGGATTTAAATAAATACGTGTTTGTTTGCCTTTAGCACATGCATCACAAATATGATCTCTTTTGAAAACAAGCTTAGGCAAACCATGCACTAAATCCTTTTTAGAAAGCTTTGTAATGACATCCATGCTTGCATGACCTAGTCTTTTATGACAAAGCCAACTATCTTCATCTTTTGTGGACACAAGAAAAAGATCTTTGGATGCAATTCTATTTGTGCAAGAATTAACAACTTCACAACACATGGATGGAAAAACAACCTTAAAGCTTTTGTCACTCAATTTACTAATGCTTAACAAGTTATGCTTTAATCCATCAACAACCAACACATCTTGAATGGTTAGAGACTTGTTACCAATACAACCAATGCCAATGATCTTTCCTTTTGAGTTGTCACCGAAAGTTACATTTCTTCCATTCTTTGGCTTTAATGAGGTGAACAAGTTCTTGTCTCCCATCATATGTCTTAAGCATCCGCTATCAAGAAACGACTTATTTGCTCCAAATTTCACTGCTTTAAGACATACCTACACAAAGAAAACATTCCTGTTCTTTTTGGTACGCAAATGGTCTTGGGTCCATGGGAGTTAGTTCCAATCATTCCCTTAGGAATCCAAACCCTTTTTATCACAAAAGGTTTGCCTTCTTATAACCTAAACCTTCTTTGTTAAAAGCACATTTTTGTGAAGCAAGCATTTCATCAAGTCTTTTGCTTCCTAAAGTGAATTTGCTCAAAATCTCTTTTGTGTTGTCAAGCTCATTTTTCAATTCAAGATTTTCCTTTCACAAAACATCACAAATGATCTTATAATCATCAAATTCTCTTTCCAAAACAATCTTATCACGAGAAACACAGGCAATTTCATTTTTAAGCTCTTTAGCATTGTCCAAAAGTTGCTCATATTCAACTTTCATTATGCATGCTTAGTTTTTCAACTTTCTATTCTTTAAAGACAGTTTTTCAAATTATTCCATTAATGATTCAAATGCAAATTGCAATTCATCAAAAGAATAGTGTTGAGAGTCTTTTACTTCGGATTCGGAGTCTCCTTCTGAATCATCTTCTTTGGCCATGAAACAA